GAAAGCTGAAACTTCTCCTGATTGTTTCCCACACAGACAAAGGGCAGTTCAAAAAGATCTTAGCAAACAATCTGCTGTAACTACAGGTAACATAAAGGTCAATAGGCCAGAATAAGTTATTAAACTGAAAACTATAATTAGGCTATTTCAATCAAGACATGTTAACAACTAGGAGAGATTACAAATTAGATTATGTGTTTTACAGATATTCTATGTTGCATTCAGTTTTACACCAGCTGTTTAAATCTTATCAAGATGGTCAAAAGGTTAAACTCACACAAACAGCCACAATCCCCTGTGGATGCCTGCTCAGTCCACAGAGAGGTTAAGAACTGTGTGTTAAATTATAGAAAACTAAAACTAAACTATTTTAAATTCAACTTATTGTGTTATATTTAATAGAAACATCCTACAAATGAAATACCAATTGGACCTTGGAAGCAATTTAGAACCAAATTTTCTTATTTTAAAACGCTGTTAATTTTATATAATATTTTACATGTGGTTAAGTTTTAAAACTAGCATATTCTAAATTTATTTTCCTAACTATGGCAATGTGGCATACACAAAAATTAATGGCTGCTATTATTATTATTATTATTATTATTATTATTATTATTATTATTATTATTATTATTATTTTATTTTTCTATTTTGATATTGAATTAATTGATTTTTTTTATGTATATTTCTAATTTCGAGATTTGGCACCTATTGTAATTAACTTTATTGCAGTAGCAGAAATCCACCAGTAGGAGGCAGTGTGCTATCCTAATCGCACCAGAATCTGACTGGCAACCGATTCCAGGAGGATTTGAGAAGTATGGAGTTCTGTCTGCCTCGTTACTTCAACCTGTTCTTTCCTGTTCACAGGAAAAATCAGCGTCTGTTACACCGACACCAGTCCTGGTGCGTGTAACAGCAACGTGGCATCATGGCAATGTGGCACCATATCAACATGGCAACATGGCAGCATATCAACATGGCAACATGGCAGCATATCAACATGGCAGCATGGCAGCGCGGTTCTCCCTCTCACGTTGAACTCCAGCAGGCCTCCAGATGCTCCAGCCTCGTGATTGGCTGATTTAATCTCGTTGATCATTTATCAGTCGAACCGTCTGTCAGATCTGATTTGAGCCTTTTGACGTCATCGACGGTGAAATGAGTTGTTTTTTTATGAGATGCTGTCTGACCTGTTTGGTCGACAGTCTCTGGCAGGAAACTGGCAGATCTGGCAACTTCCATCTCAGGATGAATCACAGTGAATAAATGCAGCACCAGCAGTTTGTTGATGGAAAACCTGAGAACATTTAGCTTTCTTCCTGTTTACAGGAACGTTTTTTCTTCCAGTTATGTCCAAACTTTACAGAAAAGGTGAAAAAATGATCTTCTGTTCCCGTCTTGTGACCTGCAGATAGTTTCATTTAACATCGCTGAACCTTTTGTGTTGGGAGCATTTTCTGCTCCTTGTCCAGCCAGTTTTCAGACTTCATCTTCCTTACCGTAAGCTGCTGGCATCAGATCTGTCTGGATTACCTGATAAGTCAGCTCTGACGCATTCAGGGAAAACTGCGGCATCATCGTCAAAAGCTGCCCAGCAATACAGGCTGGAAACAAAAATCAGCATCAGGTGTCTTTTTTTGTTTGTTTTATTGGCTCTAATGGCCTTTAATTGATAGTTAGTTGACAGGAAAATGGGTAATGAGAAGATATGTGGCAAAGGTCGCAAGGCCAGGAATCGAACCTGCGACAGCCGCGTCGAGGACTGAGGCCTCCATCTGCGCCATCACAGCACACCAGCATCAGATGTCATTTTTATGCTTCACAATAAAACATTAAACCTTTAAAAATGGTTATCAGATGGTAGAACTGCAGAACACAGTCAACTCTGATCCCTGCATGAAAAGAAAGGAACCAGAACCAGAACCTCTGCTGCAAGGTTTGGGTCCACTTATGATGTCATCAGAACATCAGTGACCATGTGGAGGCTCCGCCCACACAGGACAGCGCCTGCTGCACCTCCACCAGTTCACTTCCTCTTTGGGTCCAGAAGGCCCCACGTTTCTCTGTTGTTGCCATTAAGATGAGCAGAGACATGATGGGACGTCCAACCAAGCAGGTTCTGGCAAGGAAGTAAATCCCATCTCATTATTGGGGTCAGAAAAGTTACAGTGAAATGTAACGCGGTTGAAAAAGTTCTTCATGAGTTCCAGCTGCAGGACCAAAATGACTAGTGAACCACAACAAACGAGTTTTTCTCAGTAAACAAACTGTTTAGACCCGTAGAGTCAAACTAAAATCTAAATGTTTAGATCTGATTTGGTTCAGAGTCGCTGATCTAATCTCTGCTTTACAAAAATTAAGACTAAATAAAAACAAGTTTTAATGAGTAACTCCACTTAACAAAATTCCTCATAAATATTGATTTATTGCAGTGGCTCTCAATACAAGTGATGGGTTATTTAAATTATAACTCGTTAAGTTGCTTGATTTTTAAACCTGTTTCAATATTTCTATATTCACTTGTATTTTTTGTACATATAGATTTTTATATTGGTTCTGCTCTGTCCTCTGTACTGCGGTAACAATGTCAATTTCCCCACTGTGGGATTAATAAAGGAATATCTTATCTTTCCTGGTTTTCCCATCATAACTTCAACTTAATGTTCAAACACCAGGGATTTTATGGAAACATGTCCAGATTTTATTGTGTGGTTTTAAAGGCTCCATGTTGAAGATGGTAAGAAATAAAGGCATAGTTTCTTTTTTTACTGCCAGCTGCTCTGCAGCAGCCCCTCTGCTGTGGGCTAATGCTAACGCTAAGACGCTCCAGTTTCAATCTCTTCTTATTGATGTAAGACTTAAAGGGCTAAATGTAATTAGATATTTGCTGCCTTTAACAAAAAGAACCAAGTCTATCAAAGCAATGTAGCAGTTTAGCTAGTTTTGATTTAAGGCATAAGGAGGCAGTTTATCAGGATTCAGCCAAAGTAATGAAATAACAAACTGCAGTCTGATTTTTATTGTTAATGTGTTTCTTCCTATTGACCAGTGAAAGGAAATAAAATGTGTTTCATGTATTTTGCTTTAAGAATCAACTTACTGGAGGGTTTATGTTAGTGCTGCAGAGCCTCAGCTAACAGCTAACAGCTAGCAGCTAGCTCCTCTCTTCAGCGGCTCTAAGGAGCCGGTACCATTCAGCTGCTGTTGCTCCTCCTACACTTTGGACTGAACCATTGTTCTAATAATGGGGGGGGACTAAAAATTCATTTTTTTCCCTCTTTCTTTTGCCTTTTCATATTGATATTGCTTAAATACAAGGGTTTCCTTCATGATTTCTTTGGGGGGGAAATTATAGACTTTTCCCAGATTGGGGGGGTCCAGACCCTCTCGACCCCCCCGGAATTTATGCCCATGGTTTCTGGTCTTAAAGACGTAGGCCACTGAGAGACGGTCTTTGTCCACAGAGAAACATTTCCTGAACCGTCTGGGTCTGAAAGACCGCTCAGCGAAGAGGAAGCCACGGCTCACCTCAGTTTCCAGAAATCCACAGAGACCAAGAGCTTCATCTCTGGAGAAACGTCCTGCCGTCTTTATGGGATAGGGTTAGGTTTGGAAACGTCTAAAAGAAGTTGAAGCTCAGGCCCGAACAGGTCCAGACTGGTCCGGATTGGTCCAGATGGTTGATGTCTCTCAGCAGCCACAGTGGTTCCAAAGTGTCTTCAGGACAACGAGGTCCGAGTTCTGGAGTGTTTATCCCAAAGTTCTGATCTCAGTCCCAGAGCTCATAGGTTCTGTGTGAGTGAAGAAGTCTGACCCGGTTCTACTGGTACTGTCAGGACAAAGGTCAGAACTCCAGTTGACTGTTGGAAGAAGCTGGTTGAATCCAGAACATCGGACCCAGGTCGGTTTAATCATCGTTAAGGAACTGGAAACTATTCTAGAAGCTAGCAGAACAAAACTAGCAGATCCAAACAGAACCAAAACAGAAACTGTTTGGACCGATTTCAGGTCAGACAGAAATAAAAGCTGGAGTGGATGGAAGCATCTGGTTCCAGCTGCTTGTTTTCCCTGAAGCTTTGGGTCAGAACTTTGTTTCTGAAGTCGTCCATGAAGGTTCTGTGGGTCGAGATGAACCAGAGAGAAAAACTTCACAAAAACTTTTTAAAACTGATGAGTGCGGCAGATCAAACCCTGAGGAATGTCGTCGGGTCGGATTTACTTAACTTTCTGCTTCTCCTTTGTCTGCAGGTGTTTCCACTCGTCACTCAGCTTATTTCTATAATCTATTATTGTTTGTCTGGTATTATTTCAACAACGCTCAATTAAATGTTTTTCTCTTTAAAGTGGCACCATATGAGGATTTTAGAAAGTAGAATTTATATTTAATTCAGATAAAGAACCAGAAGTGGACTTACAGGACCAACAGAGCAGAGCTGCTTCCTTGATCCAATATTTGGTCTCTGGAATATGAGTCAGAGTGAGACCTCCTTCAGAGGATTATTGGTCTGTGATGTAACTCAGGTTTAGGTTTCTTCATGGAGACCCATTTACCGACAGCTGGAACCAGTTTTCCTGGCCAGAACTCTTCAAGAAACTAAATCCAGTCGTCTGATATGTTTGGAGGAAAAAACGATTTGGATCATTTTCCTGTTGCTGGAACAGGAAGCAGACGAAGTCCAGATAAGGAAGTTCTGGAGTGGAAAAAGTCTGGACAGGAAACCTTTTAGTCCCAACCGACCTGACAGCCACATCCAATAATTCAGAAGAATCGTCCTGAAGAACCGTTACCAGGAATAAAACCCTAACCCACATAAAATTAGGGTTTTATTTATCTGATATATTTTATTTTCATGTCATCATTTATGAACCGTAAGCAGAAAATCCCAGGGATATAAATAAAAGCTGGAAAACGTCCAACAGTGAAATAAACTTTTAATAATAATTTGATTTATTAAGCAATCTGTCGATGGGCCAGCATCCAACCTAACCAGCATCCAACCAAACCAGCATCCAACCAATCCAGCATCCAAATGGCTCCAGGTCCAGTGAGAAAGAGCCACTGGACCAGCTGGTTCTGTTCTGACCCAGCAGCAGAACCGGACTGGTTCTAATCTCCCCTCAGATCCAGATGGATTTGGAAAATTTAAATTCATGACAAACACAGACAGGAGGGTGAGAAGTGTGTCAAATGACGGGACCACAGCCAGGTGGGGGGCGTGGCCTCAGCCAGGTGGGGGTAGAGGGCGTGGCCTCAGCCAGGTATGTGCTGCAGCAGCAGGTGGAAGAGGCAGATGGTTTCAGAGCGATGGGTCTCTACCAGCTGATCGGTGCGGCGGTTCTGCTGACTCTGATGACTCCAGGTAGGAACCTACTGACCTTCATCACCTGCAGGGTCAAAGGTCATGATGCCAAACTGATTCAGATATGAAGCACAGAGATGTTCAGGGTGAATCAGATCTTTATTTTCTTGTTTATTCATTTTACAGAAGCTAAAATAATTCGCTGTGGTAATTTTGATAAACATTTTGACTTTAAAATGTTCATATTAAAGTTAATATGAGGTATAATTTGGGCTGGATCTGGTTATTAGGAGGGAAATTATGATCAGAAGAGAGAATATAAGGTTAGATCTTCACAATCCAAACATAATGAGGTTAATATCAGGTCCAAAGTCTCAAGTTGAAAATAAATACATATAAAGATGCAATGAAGAGAAACTAAATACATGAGATTAATGACTAATAGTTGATACTCTACTAGATTCATTCCTCTGCAGGTTTTATTCTTGATCTCTGGACAGAAACAAACTTGAAAACTGTTTTCTAGCTGATGACTTTAAATAATGGCATCACAAAAAACGCGTCAGACAGTAACAGGAAGGAGAAAATCTTCAGAGAAACCAGTGGAAAAAATAGCAATGAAAATATAATTTCACAGCTTCACGAAACGGTTTATCAAAGTTGAAGAAGCTGCTAAAACTCAAACCCAGATTGCTCAGATGAAACCAAACCATCCGAATCGCCCTGCCGCTTTCAGACTGGAGAGACATTCAATCATGTCTGCAGGGAGATAGAAATATAGAAATAGAAACGTCCTTCACTTATTCCAACCATGGGGAATTTCTGTGACTCACAAACAGATAAAGGTTCTAGTGAGATGAATGAACAGGGTGATCCAGAGTTAAAGACTGAAATTTAAACTTTGGTTGGGAACCAGAGCTTGTTTAGTCCACAGTTTACTGGTCCCATTCTGGTCCCATTCTGGTCCCAGTCCCTGAAGAATAACCCTTCAACCCCTCCAGCACCAAAACAGATTCTCTTGCTCTCAATCTGCTGCCGTCTTAGCAGAGACTCTCCACAGGGACTAAAGAGACGGCTGATTAAAGTCTGAGGTTAAACCAGCAGAGGTACAAACTGCTAAGGATCAGACTGAACCGAAACCTTAGCCAGAGGTCAGAGGTTAAACTGGCTAGAGCTGCGTTCACAGTCGCCTTTTCTGAACGCTGACTCTAGAGACTCCTGGACGAGAAAACTTTTATAAACAGACTCTATAAACAGACTCTACTTCTAGTCTTTATTCTGTTTACTCAACAGAGAGTTCTGGACTGGAACCACTGCCTGTGGTCCAGTTTGATCGGGTTCGGGTCTGGTCGGTCCTGGGATCTTCTCCAGAATCTGGCAGACTCTAACAGAGTTTATCTCCAACTAGACCCAATAGGTTAGAAAAGCACATATTATTATAACATGATCAGTGAATATTGAAGGTTTACAGACTGAAGGCTTTGTGTGGAGGGAGTGTTTTATTTGTCCAGTCAGTCACTGAATGCCTCTCCACTATAAAGCCACTCACTGATTCTAACAAAAGACACAAACAGCCATTAGTAGGGTATGTTCACCATCTGTCATCAGGGCCAGAGACTGAAACTATGCTGGAAAATGTGTGCTCACTTTTCTTTGAGACGAAGCAGCCAAACCGGTCTGAGACGCTGCGCTCCAACTCCTCTGGCAGTGGGACAGTGTGTCCAAGGAGGACAGCAGCGCCCCCTGCAGGTTTAGGTGCTTCTGATGGAAAAACCTCAAACTGGGAAAAATTGATCTGGAGGGTGAAAGGAACAGAAAATATTCTCATTTACTTTCATTTTTTACTTTGGGTGGATTTTAGGTCGGCACAAAGATGTTAGTGGTGTTGCCATAGTAACATGACTTGCTGATGAGCAAGTCTTGTGAGGATTTAGGGTTTTCTGTGTTTATTTAGTTCCTGTGTTTCCTGTCTGCCCCTTGATTGTTCCCTGCTGTCCCTTGTTTTCCCCTGATTACCTTCCCTGTGTATTTTTACCGACCTGTGTCTCTTGTTCCCTGTCGGGTCCTTGTTGTGTCTACATCCTGTCCCAGATCTCAATAGTCCTGTGTTTTCGCAGCGCTACCAGTGTATCTGAATTCCTTGCCTCATTGTTCACCTGTGCTGCCTGGATTTCTGTACTCACCTGTGATCGTCATTAAAACATCCTCACCAGCAACCAGTTCATGACAAATCTATCCCAGTGTGTTTTAAAGTCTGTGGGCTCTCTGGACTCACTCAGTGAGTGTTTCCAAGTATTTGGAAAAAACTTCATTTATAACTCACATCTGATAACGAAGCGTTCCTAATGAGAACGTCTTCATGACCTCCAACATCGCTGAGCCCTATTGGACGCTTCTGAGTCACAACATGCTTCTGTTTTAAAGCAGCTCCTGAAGCGCTCTGCTTCCTGTGACATCATAGAAACAAAGGAATCAGCCCAGATATCAGAACCTGTTGGTTCATTCCTGGTCCAGACACCAGGAGGTTCTAACAGTGACATGATGGGAATGTCCAGCCATCACGGCTCTGGAGGGAATCGACCTCAGAACCAGAGTTCTCCTTCTAATAGTTTGTTTTCTGTTTTTCAGAGTCGGAGTCGCAGCTCTCTGGTACGTCCATCTGTTCATGCTTTTCACATTGTGATGTTTTAGTCAGTCCCTGAATGCAAAGTAGATCCAGCTAAAAGCATCCACATGACAGGAGGTGAGATGTAGGAAGCTTAGAGTAAATGTAGATGTCCATGTGTCCTCAGATTGTGGTCAACCAGCACTAAACACCAGGATCGTTGGAGGAGCGGCGGCTCCTCAAGGGTCGTGGCCCTGGCAGGTCAGTCTGCAGACCTCGTCTCACTTCTGTGGAGGATCTCTGATCAACAGCGAGTGGGTGCTGACTGCAGGTCACTGCATTATCAGGTCAGCACAGAAGGCAAACGGTTGATTAGTTTGGATGAGAGATCTGGCAAGGTTTACAGTCTTCTGTGTTTGTCTCTTCTGGCAACTCTTCCAGCAACATAGGTTCGGCAAGACTGGTTCTGGGTCTTCAGAGTCTGACAGGGACCAACCCAAACAAAGTCACCCGGACAGTAGCACAGGTTATCCGTCACCCTAGCTTCAGCATTTCCACTCTGGACAACGACATCGCCCTGATAAAGCTCTCCTCAGCTGTATCGTTCAACAACTACATCTCGCCAGTGTGCCTGGCGGCGGCGGACAGCACCTTCTACAGCGGCGTCAACTCCTGGGTCACCGGCTGGGGCAACATTGGATCTGGTGGTAGGTCTCACTACAGAACAGAGCTACTCTGTTCAACTTATGCTTAAGTTAGATATTCTTATAAAACAATCAGATGCGCCATGAAAGAACAAGCAGAAGCATAGCTGGCTGGATCCTGTAGAGCAGATTTCAAATCAGTATTTGTCAAAACATTAGAAGGTGCTGTCTCCCTCCTTTTTTACAGCTTCATCTCAATATCTGAGTAAAACTCTTGACTATTCCAACACTTAGCAAAAAATGTAACGGTGGTGATCCTAACTGACCTGAAACAGGAAACATTTAGCGTGATTTATTATCACACAGAGGGAAGCAGATTTTTTTAGTCTTTTAAACAGTGATGGTCACTTCAGTGGTACCAGCCCAGTGGTGGGCTGTCGGGGCCAGTGGGGCCTTCTCTGCTAGCCCTAGAAAATTGAAAAGTGGAAAATGTTTTAATCATACTTAATTGTATCTATAATTTCAGTTTTATTCTACAAACGAGTTGCTTATTGGTAGTATTGAGGTTTCACTTTAATTTCCTACTTTAAAAAGTAGTTTAAATGCATCTGGCGAGCAGCTCCGCCTCAGGCCCGGCTGTACTAAGTCAGAAACGCCGAGCAACAGGCCACAGTTGGCATGACTGACAGAGTAATCAGCCAATCAGAGCTGACATACAGTGCCGGTCCGTTCCGCAGGCCCGGATGTAAGTAAAGAGCTTCCCCTGCTTTCCCATCGCTGTCAAGTACACCGAGAAGGACCTCGCTGCAGCAAACAGAAAGGGGCGGGGACAGACCACTGTCAGTCTCATAGCTTATTTGGAAATGGGACCATTGCAATCCGGAAGTGAAGGGGGCGCTATTTCCTATACTTCCGTTTTTATTTTCTTTTGAAATCTGTGATATATTTTCACCTTTGGGAATGAGTTTCACTCTCAGAATGTATTTGAACTTCTCTCTTTTATTTACTTCACGGCAGCTCACAGTTTTTAGCAAATTTTGTAGCTTTCGGTGTACTTCGAAATCTGCTCCTTAGTCGCATCTTTTCGGGCCTGCTACTGCCTCTAGTTGCGTGGGGGTGGAAACACAACCGATATAATGACATTACTAAATCAGAATACCACAAAGTCTTTATTATTTACTATTAATTCTGGCATTACTCGACCAGTAAAAGATAAATTCCCTCACAAAAGAACATACCTTTTCATTTTCTTAAAGAAGTAGAGCTAATTAAATGAGATAAACAAGAACTGAAAGTGATTCCAGTTTTACTTGATGGTCAACCTGTTGAAACTGTGGCAAATTTTAAATACCTCGAGTCATTCCTGGACAGTCAGCTCAACTTTGCTGAAAACACTGACTATGTCTTTAAGGTAACGGTTCAATAATATACATGGCACTGTAAAAACAAAGATGTGAATTGTTGCTTATA